GTACAGAAATCATGAGAAAGAGTTTATACCATACTTTTTGCAAGGAGGTTCACTGGTTTATTGCAACAATATTGCTGAATTAATACCAATGCTTGGAGCTGCAGTTTATGAAACAAGTGAGTGGCGATTGTTCATTGATTCCTCCAAAAGAAGTCTAAAAGGTTTTCTCCTTCACATGGGTAACATATATGCATCTGTTCCTATTGCTCAATCGGTTCACTTGAAGAAAATGTACAAAAATCTCCAACTTCTTAGTAAGGTCAAATACAAAGAACTTGGTTGGCTACTTTGTGGAGACTTAAAAGTTCTTTGTATGTTGTTGGGTCAATCTATGTCTTTTGTGTGAATGGGACAGCAGTCCATGAAATCAGCACTAGGTAAAGAAGCAATGGCTACACAGAGTCAGCCTGATACCAGGATCAAAAAACACTGAACATGAAAGTTTGGTTGACACAAAGAAAATCCTATTACCTCCACTTCACATAAAATGGAGCTTGATGAAACAGTTTTTAAAGGCCTTAGACAAAGATGGCAACTGTTTCAAGTATTTAAGTGGGCAATTCCCTGCTCTTTCAGAAGCAAAAGAAGGAATTCTTGTTTGGCCTCAGATTAGGAAATTGACTTCAGATGAAAAGTTTGAAAGGACAATGAGGAATGTTGGAAAAGAAGTGTGGATTGCCTTTAAAGATGTTATTGACAAATTTTTAAGAAACAACAAGGACCTAAATTACGAAAATATTGTCAATAATATGCTCAATAAATTCAAAAACTTAAATTGTAATATGAGCTTGAAAGTTCATTTCTTAAACTCACATATTGAGTGTTTCCCGGAAAATCTCAGTGCTGTCAGTGAAGAATAAGGGGAAAGGTTTCATCAAGACATCAGGGAAATGGAAAGGAGGTTTCAAGGAAAGTGGAACATCAGCATGATGGCTAATTACTGATGGTCATTGAAACAAGATGCTCCAGATGCAATACATAAAAGAAAGACCACAACACGTACTTTGGAGACTAAAAGACATAGATTTCACAACAAAAAATCAGGATGAATGAGGATGCATGTTCGTTTGACATCAATGTTCTTCCCTTTTCTTGAGTTTGTTTGTATTTTTCTTAACAAATATAATAATAAAAAATATTCACTGTGGTAAGTGAAATAATAATTTGATCTAAGTAAGAGTTTTTTCTTCCCGATTTGTTAAAAACCCTTCGAAATCTGCATAGTTGAATTATTGAAAATTTGTTATTAAAACCAAAACAACTTTTATGAAGTTTAAATTCACAGGCCTGTGTTACTAACTGGCGAATTTATTAACATTTCTTCTCAGACAGAATTTTTTTAAAATTTCCACAGCAATGCTACTAGGCTTATTTATGTGAAAGACCATTAGGAATAATCATATGATCTGTATGCCCTGACCCAACAGCATTCTTAGTAGAAAAAAGTTCATGCACAAGCAGCCCTAGTAAGCTAAATGTCATACTGCAAGAAAAATAATATCAGAATAAGGAAAAAATAACCACAAATTTTCTGCATTGAGGATTTAAAGTTGTTGTTCAATGTACAAATGAAACAAGATTTTACTCATTCCAAAAAGTACACAGATCCTAAAAAAAAATAAAGTGGTATTTTTAACACAACTGTTGTCTCAGTCAAAACATAGTTTAATTTATAACAATGAAACAAACAATAATTAAATTGATTTTACATGGTCTTAATAATATTTTCTATAGTAACAACTGTATAGTTACTTTTGCCCCAATCCAATAAACAAGTTATTTGACTACATGAACAGAAGTGTGAAGCAATGCATTCTTTTTTCATGAGTATAACATGATCTGCTCCCCCCCCCCCCCTATTTCTATGAAAGTTTGTAAAAAAATAGTACAGTCTCCACATAAAGGATATATTATTTGAAATACTAGCATTGTAAATATTTATGAAGTCAAACGTTGTTGTTGTTTTTTATTTTGTTTCTGTTAGATACTTTCATAAAATACAAATAATCGAGTTTTTTTACAAGACAAGTAGTGTATTTTAACATTACTTTTGCATTAAATATTCATTACATTTTGTGAGATGTACATGAATCACTATTTAATGGCTAATGATCCTCAACTTTTAGGCAGCAGTTAGTTAAATTACCTAAATAGTTGACCTGTTTGAGGTAATTACTTCTTACATTTCTGCTACACGCTATGGAAAACCAATGTAACAAGCAACGAATGTTCAAAATTCTACACTATTTGACAAAATTAAGTAACATTAATTGTTTTCTATTATGATATATATCTTTCAAAAGTTCAGTGTAACTTATGTAGACAAGAAGTATGTTCTAACCTACCTTTTCTCTGTTTCAAGTTTGTCCATTCGCTTCCATAAACGATTGACAAGTGCTTCTTGTTCCTGTTCAAGGGTGTTCTCCAGTTCAACTTTCTCTCGACGTAGCTGTTCCAAGTTTGATTGCTTGGTCAAAGTTTGAGCCTCTAACTTTTCAATTTTTCTCATCAATCTGTTAACTAATGCCTCCTGTTCTTGCTCAAGTGTCTGTTCCAGCTGAACTTTCTCATGGCGTAACTAAGTGCATAAAAAAAATGAAAAGCAGTATACAGCTTCTACACCTGTTATCATAACTACATACTTCAATGCCTTCACCCAGAATAACACCAAAAATCAATAAACCACATAATTCATACAGCCATATTATTATATAT